CAGAATCTACTCACCAGTTATCATGGACACAGCACAGGAGAATGAGGTGCGCCGAGCCCTTATGCAGCAGGGCGCCCTTCTGGGTCGGCAACAAAAGGAAATCGCAGCTTCTCGCCGCGCTTACACCGAGGGTGTTTGATCGCTCGGCTCAAGGTACTGAGGTGGCACGAGCCTTGTCGCTGCTACGGCAGGGAGAATAGTCAGTATCCAGTTACTCGATCGAGTTTCGCACGCTCGCGGCTTCCTGTGGCTGGAACGACAAAGCTCTCTTCATGTTTTCCCATGGAGCGGTCCAAGGTAGCCTTCACCATCACGCTCTTGGTGGGTCAAGCGAGAGAGTGGGAACGGCCATGTGGGATAACGAGCTGAACTGCTGCTCCTCTTTTGAGAATTTCTCAGAGGAACTACACAAGGTGTTTGATCGCTCGGCTCAAGGTACTGAGGTTGGATAACCAACTATGTCTCTACTGCGGGGAAGCAGGTCACGTGGCAGCTTCATGCCCGGCAGCCAGACGGTGCTCACTGCTGAAGGGAGCACGTACAGTGAGCGTCACTAGTACTCAACTGCCCTCTGGTGGTCGTTGTGAGTTCCAAGCCTCGTTACTGTTCAGTGGGGCTGCTTATCAGGTTTCGGCATTGATTGACTCGGGAGCGGAGGGCGATTTCATGGATTCCGGGCTGGCCACACGCTTGGGACTTTCGTCTGTTGCCCTGGCCGAGCCTATATTGGCCAGAACACTTTGTGGCACCCTTCTCACCAGTATTACCCATGCTACTAAGTTTGTAACACTCACACTTTCCGGCAATCATGCTGAGGAGATTAGTTTCCTCCTTATCCATTCACCCACCGCTCCAGTGGTTTTAGGACACACCTAATATAATCCCCACATTGACTGGGCTCTTAACCCTTTAACGCGTACGATCACACCGGTGTGATTAGAACTTTCCGTGCGTCACGTTGCTGGGGGCTCAGCTAGAATATTTTAAACTCACGTGCGAAAGGGTTAACTCCGTGTTGGTTTGGAGCCCTTTCTGTTTAGCTCAATGTTTGGGTGCAGCATTTTCCCCATGTAATGTCTTGTTCTGTGTTGCAGGAGGAGCCGGTGAATCTGGCAGATGTACCAGAGGCTTATCATGACTTGAGAGCGGTTTTCAGTAAGTCCCGAGCTTCATCTCTGCCTCCGCACCACCCGTACGACTGTGCGATAGACCTGTTGCCTGGCACTTCTCCGCCCAAGGGGCGCCTTTACTCTCTGTCCAGACCTGAGAGGGAGGCCATGGGAGCTCTTGCAGGGGGCAACCATCTTTACGAAGTTGGACCTCCGCAACGCTTACCACTTAGTTCGGATTAGGGAGGGGGACGAATGGAAGACTGCTTTTAACACCCCCACGGGGCACTTTGAGTATTTGGTCATGCCGTTTGGGCTTTCTAACTCCCCGGCGGTCTTCCAGGCACTCGTCAATGACGTGCTCAGAGACATGGTCGACTGGTTTGTTTTTGTTTACCTTGACGATATCCTGATCTTCTCTCAGAACGAGCGCGATCATGTCCAGCACGTCAGACGAGTGCTCCAGCGGTTTCATGTGCGAGTTTCACGCACGGTCGTTTCCGTTCCTAGGATTTATCCTCTCTCCCGAGGGTAGCCGAATGGATCCTGCCAAAGTAAAAGCAGTTGCAGATTGGCCCACCCCAGATAGCCGTAGAGTGGTCCAGCGATTTCTGGGGTTTGCCAATTTTTACAGGCGGTTCATTCAGAACTTTAGTCAGGTCGCCTTTCCTCTGACTGATCTCACCTCCACTAGGAAGCGTTATGGTTGGTCATCGCAGGCTCAGACTGCGTTTGAAAATCTTAAGAGTCGCTTCGTTTCGGCTTTTATTGTTTGGACTGACCACAAAAACCTCGAATACATCCACACCGCTAAGAGACTAAATTCTCGGCATGCTCGCTGGGCATTGTTTTTCGGGCGGTTTAGGTTTACCATCTCTTACCGCCCGGGGTCCAAGAATGGTAAACCCGATGTGCTGTCGCGGATCTTTGAGGCTGAGGCTAGTCCCACCCTCCCTTTGCCCATTCTGCCTCCCGAACGGGTGGTGGCGGCGGTCACCTGGGGGGTGGAATCCAAGGTCCACGCGACGTTACGTACCTCGTTTGAGTTGTGTATATATAGTGGTGTCTGTTCCTGGTTTCCTTTGTCCAGTGTTAACGTCATTTGGTACTTCCATGGTGTGTGCTACGTGTGTCTCATGCCTGCCCTGTGTTCCCTGCTATTGAGTTAATTAAACATTTTGAAGTTAAATCTCATTCGTCTCCATGCTCCGACACAGTAGACCCGTGACAGATATAGCTTAATGTGACAAACTTCAAAAGGCTATGATTTCACTGAATAAATATGAGCTCTGCATTTTGCAAAGTCATGTGTACATTATGAACAGTGGTTACCGTGGAAACCACTATATTGCTTCTGTTCCGAAAGAGCCACCTGCTGGCAGAGAATGAATTTGCGTTTTCAATAAGCCTTTCTTCTGTTTTTGTTCAGACCAAAGCGAAAATCAACAAATATTTGCAAACATGCAGCGTTGTACATGTCAGCCGGTGGATTGACAAGAAGCTAATGCATTATACAAATCTAAACAATTAATACACTAAGAAGAAGAGATATTCACACCGGTCTGTTATTGTGGGGACATTTTCACGCCCCTAAACATGACACGGCACAAAACGAAACGTGATTGGTTGCTTTACCTGTCAGTCATATGGCCTCTTGGGCAGGCCTTGGCCATTCAAAGTGGTCAAGGTTCCCAGACCTTCTGCCTTTTGTTCTGACTTTTGTTTTTGTGAAAACTTGTATCTGAACTGTAAATTGTCACGGGTCAGGGTGCCTTCCTGGCTCCCTCTGCTGTCTATGTTGTCATGTCTTTTTCGGCGGCTCGTGACCGGTGCAATCAGCGCTGATCTGGCGGTGGGGCTGCGCAGATCATGAGCTGCTTCTACTCCACCTGTAGCTTATTACCCTTTCCTTTATATTTCTCTTCTGTCTAGTCCTTGTTGTGAGTAGATTGTTTTGTGTTCGATGCTTTTGATGTTCTGTGCTCTGCTTTGCTCTGATCTCTGTATTTACCTGTACCCCAGGACGCGTAGAGCGAAGGACTACCACCCTGTGCCTCGCTCTACTCTCAGGTTGCTGGTCCTGTGCGAGCGCTGGGTCTTGGGAAGTAATCAGCCTGTTTGGTCCACATCCCTCTGCCGACCGAAGCTGGATTACTCCAGAGACTTGCTCACTGTTTTGGTTACAGCTTTATTTTTGTTCACCTTTTTGAGAATAAACCTCTGTTTGCATCTAATCCTCTGCATTTGAGTCCTCTGTTCACCTCGTCCCATCACAGAAATCTTGCTTTTTACAGTAATTTTACAGTTTAATATTTTACCATAGACATTGCCCTACCCCGCTCATATGGTATTAATTTTATTTGTGCAGGTCTTAAAAAGGTCTAAAAAAAAGTCTTAAATTTGATTTTAAAAATCCTGCCGTAAACGATCCAAACTCAACTTGGATAAGCGCAGAAGCCATAACTCTCGGGCCAATTCCTCTACGCAACTTACTATATCTTTCACCCAAAAAACAGCGAATTCTAACTAAAGATAATTTTATTCTTAAGAATATGATTAAAATATGGAGATTAGTCCGCAGAACAGAAGGGCTCGACTCCCACCTTTCACTTCTCACACCCTTACATAACAACCCAGATTTCCCCCCAGGGATGAATGATGGCCTAATACATTTGAGAGACAAAGGAATACTTGTCATAGGAGACCTGATGGAGAATAAACAGCTAATGACCTTTGAACAATTCACTGCAAAATATGATCTCAATAAGAAGTTCTTCTTGATATACCATCAGATACGCAGCTTCATAACAAAAAATCTCAGAGTCTATTCAAGGGGCCTCTGCGTATCCCCAATGGAGGAACAATTAATTAAACTTACTTCATCTCGATCTGCATCCAAAATCTTCTATAGTATTTTGATAAGAGCAAATACAGATAGCTCAGATAAAACTAGGGTGTTATGGGAAAAGGACTTTGGGGAAGAAATTCAGTTAACTGATTGGGAAGCCATATGTGAGATGCCTTCCTATCTTGCCAATAACTCTGCCTGGGAAATGCAGTTTAAAATTGTTCATCGTCTGCATGTGACTCCTGCCCAAAGACATAAAGTAAACCCAAAACTCTCCAACCTCTGCAATAAATGTAAAAGTCTAGAAGGAACCCTCATCCACTGTTTCTGGAGCTGCTCGAAAATACAACAATTCTGGACGGGCGTCCTAAAGGAACTTGAGAACATTTTTTGCTGCTCATTACAAATAGGACCAATGACTTGTTTGCTTGGCATGAGCCAGGAACTCCCATCCAGATTCCAAGGGACCCACCTTCTTCAAATCACCTTCTTTGTTTTTTTGGTTTTTTTTCTTTTTCTTTCTTCTTGTAATAAGGTATTTGGCAATAATGTATTTTAATGTGTATTTTGTAGAGAATTCAAATGAATGGCCACCTGGGCAATTTATATTAGCTCAGATGTGTCAACTATGTTTAAACCCTGTAAATGTCAAAAAGCTTCAATAAAAAATAAAAAATAAAATAAAAAATACAGATACCCTGGCTACATCCAAAATCTCCAATACTCTGAATGTACACCTCAGAATCTCGCCAGAATTAGTAAGTCATTCAGGTACCTACTGTTTTATGAATTCTACCTCAAATTTGGAAATGCTACTCTTGCGGGGCCTGACTAGTAGAGGTTCTAATGGTTCTAATTACATTCTGTAAAAACATAAATAATAATAGTGAATTATTTCTCTTTGTCATTATGATCATAAGGGTAAGTACTTGAACTTTTCTGGAAACTATCATACAGGGACTCAAGCACACATACAGGCACACAAACATAGATTCTTGGACTTGCGTCCTCCTCTCTGAGTGAGTGTTAAGGCAGCACGTGAGTCAGTTATTACTGGGCTGTTGAGTTTCTGAAGAGACAATTATAAGAGCTGAGAAAGCTACAGCCCTCAAATGATTACAGGGAGAGAGAGAGAGAGAGAGAGAGGGATGAAAAAAGAAGAATAGAAACGAAAATCCCTGATATAGAGCCAATTCATTTCTTCAAAATGCCTCTGAGAGGTTATTCTAGGGAGTTAGAGTCAGAGGCCAGAGCAATCCCCACAAGACAAGAGAGAGAGAGAAAGAGAGATATGGAGGGATAGAGGGATAAAATGACAGGCAGACAAAGCAACTATCCAAACATTCCCTTTTCCTCCTTCATTTGAACACAGAAATCGATCCATTTGAATGTGAATTCAGATCCAGTTTACTGCCATCTGTGGTTATTTAAAAGAAAGATCTTCTTGTCTCCGGCTCCTTGATGCCGTGCAAGTCCCATGTGTCTCTAATACACCTCAATGCCAGGACTTACCTCAACAAAGCTTAAATGCTCTCTCTCGCTCTGTCTCTTTCTCTCACACACACACAGAGAACACACAGAGAGTGTATGATCTTGTTTGTTTTGACCCTCTTAATCCCAGCGGTCAGTGTGTCTGATAGAATTCAATTGATCAATCATGTCTGTGAGATGGCACCATTTCAGCAGGTTTATTGCTTTCCACTCTTCTCAAAGACTGTCCACCAACAGCACACACACACACAAAAGATGTCTGAAACTGTGCATCAGTACACATATCTTGGTTTTTAAAAAAGGCAGTTTGTAAACTGCCACAATCTGGAGTGTTTGTGTGCATGGTTGTTTATGCATCAGCAGGGGACCGCTATCTGAGACCGCTAGTGAAAATGCATTCATTTTGCATTTTTCTAATTTAATACAACACTTGTTTTATGACAAATTATATGATTAACTCAAAAATTTAATTCACATGAAATTCAGAATTTCTTTATAATTGGTTTGTCCCCCTTTTCTTTCGAAGACAGCAGCATGAATCACACAAGTGTGATCATGTTGATGTTATGTTATCTAACATGATTTGAAAATGATCCTAAGAGCATCTTGTGCTCAGCAGAAGAAAATCTGACCTTTTGTAAGGAGTTCACATGGTCAATGGTACAAATTTGTTTGTTTTTTAATTACTGACCTATAGTGAAGCATTTTAATTATATTATATTATATTATATTATATTATATTTCAAAATCCTAACAAAATTCTAACATTTCCTTCCAGGTTTCAGTTAACCAGTTTCACAATATTTTGCAAGCAAAAAAGTCTATAGGGTTGCAATATATGAAGCACAGCTTACACAGAAGCCACTTTCTAACCAACTGGCAAATCAGAGCGACCAGCTTGAACCCCCTGCGAAATCTGCATTGAGAAATCTTTCACCCTCAAACTAAACTTACATTTGATGGATTCCTATTGAAATGACTAACAGTAAATGTGACCATATACCTTAAGAATGAACATTCCCAAAATTCCTAATGTTTCCACTTAAACTACTGCTTCATATGTCCTCAAACATCTATATCCTTCTGGGATCACTTGACCTTACGAAAACACAGCCATCGAGCGTCAAAACAATGTTATGGACTTTTTTCCAGTCGTTATTATTACACAGATGCGTGTTTATCTGTGACTGTTTGTGTGTGTGTGTGTGTGTGTGTGTGTGTTTTGTGTGTGTTTTATGTGTGTTTTATGTGTGTAACTGTTTCACAGTGTCAGCCACCGTGTGTGAAATGCAATTTCAGACAGATCTGGAAGCCCACTCAGCCATATCAGAGCAAAAGAGAGACAGAAAGAAGAGAGGTCACCAATAAAGCTAGTTTCACCAAATTTAAACAAACACACCATACCAGCATCACGTTTAACCAACCTTCCTCAAGTTTCCAACCCCCTAAAAAAAAACACACACACACACACACACAAACAGACTCATTGGTCTTAGGTATTCAGTTGGCCGGTGTTTCTCTGGCCTTTTGTCTTTCAGCCTCTGAACCTGCTATAGGGAACCACTCTCTGTAACCAGACTCAATACAGCCCAGCTGCATTCAGGGTTAACCCCACTATTCACACACACACACACACACACACAGAAGGAGAACGGAGGAGAGGCATCTTCCTTGGTTCAAAAGCAGAGACAATAGCAACAATGAGATCACCGTTGTGCCCCCTCTGTCTCTTTCCGTCTTCCTCTCTCTTTCTCTCAGGGATGAGGTTGAAGGTTTTTTGGGGGCAGAGAAAACTGCTCTGTAGATTCCTTGCGCACTTGATACACAGAGAGAGAGAGAGAGAGAGTGTGTGTGTGTGTGTGTGTGTGTGTGTGTGTGTGTGTGTGTGTGTGTGTGAGAGAGAGAGAGTGTGTGTGTCAACCTTGACAGATCAAAGTATGAGCCTCTGAAAGGGGGAAACCAACCTTTAACAAATCCCACTGTTATCATCTATCCCCTATCCTCCCTCTCTCTCTCGCTCCCCCTCTCTTTCACAATCCCCCCACCTTATTAAACATTTCCTCTATCTTCCATTCAGAATATTCCACAGAATGAACGAGATAAAAATGACTGAAATGAAACTGGACAAGAAGTGAACATATTAAACAGTAGAGAAAACCACGTCTGTCCTGATGATGTCCACTGTGGATGCAAACATCTAGGTGTGATTTGTTAAATTTAACAGATTAACTACAAATGTGTATATTTTTTCAATATTTTTCAGTTTTTCATGTTTTGAAGCCGTTACCTTAAAGAAAGGTTTCTTTATTGTTTCAGGGGGCAAAGAGAACATTGTCCGACCCCTCTGCCCCATACCACGGGCCTCCTGTCTTTCTTTATTCTATTTCTCCTTTCCTCCACTCCTCCCCTCGTCCATTCCTCCTCCGTTCAGAGAGAATGGGCAGACACAATGCTTCTGTTCTAGAGGCCCCACAAGTCAAGTTCTCTCTTTCAGATCACTTCCCCTGGGTCAAAGGGCATCAGTGGGCTTTCCCCAAACACATATACACAACACACACACACACACACCAAGCCGTCCAAACCCTCTGTTACTTCCTTTCCTGCTTGTGAGCAGCTGGAAATCATAGTGTCTTGCTTCACTAAACATGCTTTTTGCCTCCCTCTCTTTTTTGAAAGCATTACCACTAAGCATAGAAATTCCTAGTATTACATAGACGCAATTTATTGAAGTATATGGAAAATGTCTTGATTTAATTTCTCACTTTCTTAGGACTGGGTTTCGATACAAATTTTCCCATTCGATTCTGATTCACAAGTTACAGTTTAATTGAAATTAATTTGGGCATATTTCAATTGTATTTAAATACACATGGAAGAAATTCTCCCTTTGCCAATGATGGCAATGAGTAACTGGTTTACAAGTCATTCATTTTCAGATTTGAGCTACACTGGTTGTGCTGTATGTTTTTGATTCACTAAAAAGAACCAGCTCCTAAGACTTATTCATTGTAGGAATCAGTAGGTTGCACTGTATGTTTTTGATTCATTTAAAAACAGCTCATAAAAGTCATTTGTTGCATGAACTGGTCTACCCTGGCTGCCCTGTATGTTTCTGATTCACAAAAGAACCGACCAATTAGACTGATTTGATTTGATTTGATTTGAATCAGTGTACACTGGTTGCACTGTATGTTTTGAATTTTGTGAAAAGAACAATTTCATAAGGAAGTGGTCTATACTGGTCATGCTGTATATTTTTAATTCACAAAAAAAAAAGTCATAAGACTCATTCTTTGCAGGAATCTGTCTGCACTGGTCCCACTGTATGTTTTTGATTCACTAAGAAGAACCGGCTCATAAGCATCATTTGTTTCCAGAATTGGTCAATATTGGATGTGCTGTATGTTTTCACTACAAAGAATGGGCTTATAAGCATCACTCATTGCAGGAATCAGTCTGATCCCATAGTTTTGTTCCCAGTGTATGTTTCAGGAATCACTTACGCTGATCGCACTGTATGTTTTTGATTCACTGGTGCACTAGTTGCGTTATATGCATATTTTGTATGCAGGTCGCATCTCAATCGAGACTTCTTGTCTTATTCAGGGTACATGTCTTGTAATTGTTTAACATGCGATACAAATGGAAAACTCAGAATGACTCAGATGAAAGATGATTTCTTTTGCTGTAATTCTGCTGAAGCGGTGCAGAAAACCGATTTTTTTCTTTCTCATGCTCACGAAAGCATGCACAGTCTGCACACTCCTTACCGTGCCTTATGCTTTTAAAATTTGCAAGCAGTATAGGCTACTAGCTGCCAAAACTATCGCTCATGTTACTTTATGCCTTCAGCAAACCCATGAGAATGTCCCTCGCTGCGAGCGCACTGACACTCACATACTGCAAAACATCACAGCACTGACCACCCGCAGTTTCACCATGTCAATTAAACACACAAATTCATTTAGTCGCCCCTCCCTCCCTGCTGGATGTGATGTGTTGCATTAATTAAAGTGGCAGACGTCTGCCTAATTGGAGCTTGGATGAACGTTGATGTGTGTGTGTGTGTGTGTTCAGCTAAGCCAGTAGTTAGCATATACACTTATGTTTCATTGCATCTATAGTCTATGCATGTTGTTAATTTTACCTGGAGTATTATTGTATTATATTAAATACAATATACACTGTAAAAACTATAAAAGACTCTAAAAATGCTATCCTGCCAACCTTTCAACAGCAAGTTCCCTTACTATATACTGTAATAGTTTTAACAGGACATTTTAAGTAATTTTACAGTAAAATACTGTTAAACATACAGACTTTGGGAATTTTTTTTTTAAAATTAAGTCATTATAATTTACAGTAAAAAAAAGATTAACTGATATTCCATTCAAGAGAATTTACATTTGATGGTATTTTGTTTAAACATTTGTTTCTTGTTAATTTCGGATAACAATTATCTACATTTGAGTTTTGAGTTACATTTTATGTTGCTTATTAATGTTTATTACATTGTTTTAGTGTAGTGTGTTATCATGATGGTGTTTTGTATTTCATGCATAGCACTCATGAAACTGCACATTCTGTTTATTACTATATAACTCAGCTTGTGGAAGGGCTATCTAATTCAACATCTGTCTCTTTTACAGCTTATATTATTATAGTGGCTATCAGTATATTTTACAGGTACAAAACAGAGTAACAAGATCTCATATTAACATTATACTAGTTAATGAATTTTTTACAGTTTTGTCTTTACTGCAAATTTAAGTTCAATCCTTTTAAGCCTAAAATGTTGCTACCATAATTTTTACAGTAGGGTTCTAGCAACCACAGCTAATACCGTAAATTTTCAGTTTATAAATATGAATTTAGTTAAAGTTTTAGTAGTTTTGTTGTGTGTTTTTGTCATTTTTAGTTTAGTTTATATTTAGTTTTGGGGGGGGGTTATATATGTCAGTTTTTTCAGTTTTTCCGTTTTAGTTATATTAGAACATCAAATTAAACTTTAGTGCATCAAATTAAAAAGAGAACTGTTGGCAACTAGCTGAACATTTCTGAAAAAGTTGAAAGTTTATTTTATTGTTTTTTATTTTATTTATTGCTAATGTTTATTTTATTTCAAGCAATGACTTTTTTATGGTTTTAATTTTAGTTTCAGTTTTAGATTCATCTGAAATAACCCTGGGCAGCAAATAGAAAGGAATCTTCTATTGTTGATGTCTGGTTTAAGTCATACTGTGTGTGAGTGTATGTGGGTGACATCTGGAGTTCCCTCATGTACTGCAGGGGTCTGCCAAGCAATGGCTTTTTAATAGACACATGTGTGCAAACACACATGCGTGCGCGTCCACATGCACATGCTGTGCCTCCCCTGGATAGAGATGTTCATCTAAGACGTGCCAGCGGTGACCAATCCCCCTCCTACTCTGATGCATCTGTCAATGTTCAGCAACTTCCATCTGTGCTCTCTGTGCTTGTGTGCATGTGTGTGAGTGCATTAAAATGATGTTGTGCATAGGAATGAAATAAAGAACGAAAGAAAGAAGGTTTAATTCAGGATGTAATTGAATTTTTGTTCTGTAATTGCTGGTAGTTACTAAATTTCCTGCATTAAATAAATTCCCTTTGTTGTGCAACAGCATTAATAATACTTTAGGTCAAGTTTAGAGTGAATTTGGTGTAGAATTAAATGTTCAAATAAACTAGGCTTTTTCAGTTCCCGAAAACAAAGCACGCATATGGACTTACTTTCATCTCTCTTTCGTTTGTTTGCGTCGGCGGGTGAGCTAATTCCCAGAATTCCACTGATGGAGTAGGAGGAGCCTGCAGCATCACTGGTTACAGCAGATACCTGGGTCACTGCCACTGTAGAGGCTAGAAAGTTACAGAGAGGTAATGAATAGCAGAAGTGTCCTAAAGCATACATGAACATGGCGGACACCATTATTGCTGCTCATTGCACTGAAAGGACCATCACTTTGGCCAATTATACAGTTTTTAAATATTTTTAATTAAGTTTTTACATATTTTAAATATTTTTCTAAGCTAAATATCATGTATAAATATTATGATTAACTAACTAATTAATTAATAGCATTTTACAACTCAAACTAATCTTGCCTAAACCTTAACACACATTCCTGATGTTCTGCGGGGGTCATTTCTATGATATAATTTCTTGTTTTAAGTTTTTTTTGTCTGCATGATGGTTGTACCACATGACTTTTTTGGATGCACAACATAACTTTGATTTGGAAAATATTACAAAGATGTGAGGCAGTTTTGTGATTAATTTTTTTTCTTTATAAAAAATAATAATAAACTGTTAGGCCAAAATACTTAAAGGGATAGTTTCGGATCCCATTGACTTGGGAAATACAATGGAAGCCAATGTTTCAAAGAAGAAATAAGTCACGCAGATTTGGAAAAACAACACCCTGAGTAAGTAATAATATAATTATAATATTTGTGTCAACTATGCCTTTATTAAAGCTTTCTTTTCCAGATTTTTTTTTTTTTTGCAGTAGTTGTCTTCCCTATTTTAGTCCATTTTAGTCATCGGTTCAATTTCCAGGTAATGCATGGACTAAGAAAATATGTAGCTGTGCAAATGTCTCCTAATATTGATTGTATTGGGTTTTCTGTGATTCTAGCTTTTGCTCGCTTAAAGCTTCCAGGCCAATGCCATTTGTTTATGTGTAGTATGTTCTTGAGTTTTGTTTTTCCTTTCATGGTTCTTGGCCTGGCGTTTTTCCTGCCAAAGACCTTTCACCAAAACCTGCTGTCACTCAATTTTGGTAACGTGCTGCCGCCCAAGGATAAGACGCTAACAAGCTAACAGCTTTTCGAGATGTCTGGCTGTCTGTGAGGTCTTGGCGGTAGGGGACGAGGCCACAAAGTCTTCTCTCTGTCAACCTTTCATTCCCTCTCTCTCCTCTTTATCTCACTTCCTGTCAGCTGACGTACAGCCTGAGTGACAGTACAGTGGCCCCAAGGGGACACTAAGGTGTAGGGATGAGGCTAATCCCACATCCCAACAGACTCTGCTAAAATGGAGAAGGTGGGAAACAAGAAAAACAAATCGCTCGGAGAAAAGATAAACGCCTCTGCTCACCCGCCGCTCTCGTTTGCTAACCAGGTGGAAAATGTAATGAATGCATATCCCTCCATTTTTTTACTCTTGATTTATCGTTTCAATTATCTGAATCTCTTATTCTTTCACACTTTTTTTCTCCTTGCGTCGAGGAATGGAAACCCGAAGCGAACGCTTTATATTCAAAATCCCTAAATTTCAATTTTCCGCCTGAGTATGAGAACTATTTATCATCATAATCTGAAGGAGACGGAGAACTGGCAAGCGTTGTGCGTGTGAAATTAATTTAGATTAAGTGGAGGTGTGCGATTATGAAGATTACTGACAGTGAGACAAGCGCAGTTCAATACTTTATTAACTGCCAACGGGAGTTTTCCTCTAAAACTGATCTCAGACCATTTTTGAAGATTCCCCTTTGGTTTTTGGGGTCATTTGAGTGTCAGAACAACCGTATAGATTCAAGGTTTTAATCAAATATTAAAGATAGGGAAGATAGATTGAAATACAGTACAGTAAATGTTTAAAAATATCAAATCTCAGTTCCCCTCACTGTATAAGAGAGACAGCCCTGCCTGCGTAAGTGTTATAAGGTAACTGGTATGTTGAAACCATCAGCAAATAAATTAAATGGAGAGCAAATGAGTACTTCTTTAACTTTTTACTTTTTTACTTTTTACTTTCTCCTGAGATCTCAAATGATCTCATATGTGCTTCAACAATGTCTCAAACTGCTTAGATTTGATAATTTATTTGATCAGAAATACAAAAAAAGTTTAAAATATTTGTTTGTATTTTAATATATTACTTGATATATTTTAATATATTTTTAATATATTTATCCAATCTTCAGCCTGACATGATCCTTTAGAAAGTATTCTAATATGTTGATTTGGTGCTCAAGAAACATTTCAGAGTTTTATAAATGTTGAAAAAGTTGAGCTGCATGTAGAAACCATGATTAATTTTATCAAAGAATCCTTGAATAAAATGGATGAATAGATAAATAGAATAATGAACGCTTTGACGAATAGAAAGTTAAAATTTAAACTTTTGTAACATTATAAATATCTTTACTGTCACTTATGATCAATATAATACGTCCTTGTTGAATAAAAGTATTAATTTCTTAAATAAATTAATTAATAAATTACTGACCCCAAACATTTGAATGGGATGTGTACGACAACACCTTTTTTTCCAGAAGCTACATTTCTATTTTTTTTTTTTATCCAAATAAGTTACTCCCTATATTCCCACCTAGAACTAAAGTTCTGTATTTTGAGTAGTTTGAAATATGACAAAAGTATATGTGAAGTTGACTCTTACCTAAGTTATGGACAGAGACAGCTCCTGATTGGCCAGGTGGTTGCTGGACTTTAGTGCGAATGATCCTGCAGCAAAGTAGGAGCAAACAGACATTACCATGTGTTTAAGGTTTACCATGCAAGGCGCTGTGATACTGTATATGCTTTAATATAAGTATGCAAACATGTGAAGTGTGTGCGTGCGTGCGTGCATGCGTGCGTGCGTGCATGCGTGTGTGTGTGTGCGTGTGTGTGTGAGAAGTGGCTCATGCAGGCTGACATGGCAGCAGAGTCTCAAACTTCCTGCATGGCTGCTCAAGCAAAGCACCTTTCCCCTCTCCTCCTCGTCTCTCTCTCTCTCTCTCCCTCTCTCTCTCTCTCTGTTTCTTTCTCTCTTGCTCTCGCTCTCTGAGAAAGGTTGTCATTGTACACATGCTGTTGAACCAGTGAGCTGGACACTGCTCATGAATATGTGTTTCTTTTTACGCCACTGACTCAGTCCCGTTGTTTTCCTTTATCTATTTCTCTCTCCCTGCATTCTTTCTATCTCTTCTCCATGCATTGCTCTATCACTTTTCTAATCTACTGATCACCTTGTTCTCAAAAATTTAGTGGTTTGCACATATACTGTATACAGTACCATTCGAAAGTTTGGGGGAGGTAATACATTTTTAAATGTATTAAATTTTTTTTTAAATCTCTTATGTCTTAAGTCTCTTATGCTCACCAAGACTGAATTTATTTGGTCAAAAATAGAGTTAAAACATTAATATTTAAAATATTATTACAATTTCAAATAAGTGTTTTACGAGTTTCACAATTTGAGTTGAATTACTGAAATAAATGAACTTTTCCACGACATTCTAATTTATTGAGATGCACCTGTAATATATTTTAAAATGTAATTTATTCCTGTGATGGCATATCTGAATTTTCAGCAGACATTTCTCCAGTCTTCAGTGTCACATGATTCTTCAGAAATCATGTTAATATGATGAAACATCCATGTTGAAAACAGTTGTGCTGCTTAATATTTTTGTGGAAACTGTGATACATTTGTTCAGGATTGTTTGACTAATAGAACATTTATTTGAAATAGATTTTTTAATAAAATGTCATAAATGGCTTTTCTGTCACTTTTGTTCAATTTAATGCATCCCATGCTCGATAAAAGCATTAATAATAATAAAAAAAAATCTTACTGACCTCAAACAGTAGTGTACAATACACTTTATTCATATTAGCAAAGTGAAGCAATACCACAGACACATTTCAGAAAACACACTTTAAACTATTTCAACCCAATAACATCTTTAAAATATTATGTTTTATCCCCTTATTTTAAGAAAAACAACGTGGATTAAATTACTGATAATGAAATCGACTGATCAAATAGACAGAAATGTTTGTGTCAAGTTAAATGGATGATTTTTACAGTGCACACACACCTGTTGATTGAGCTGACGCTGGGCACGCTGTCATTGTCACACACTCTGTCTGCCAGCAGTCTGTCTCGGATCTCCCAGGCAAACATGGTGGGGTTTTGGCGTTTGTAATCAGCGATTTTGTCTACGACTTTGGGTGTAGCAACCTTTGGTTTGGAGCCTCCGATCACCCCTGGTCTGATGCTGCCTGTCTCATAATACCTGTGGAGCAGACAGATAGAGAGCTGTATATCACCAGGCAAGATAAACAGAGAGTTAGAATATATGCTAATCCAGCGTTGTATGCCTGTCTTGCAGTCAGTGCACAGTTGGTTACTAGTAACACAGACACAGAGAACAACACATACCTTTCACAAACGTGCAAAAATTATCAGTCTGTTCAGCCACAGATGAGCACTATCAAACCTTATATGTGAGGCATACACACAGGAATTATAAAACAGGGTCTGGTCTAAATTCTGAATGGATGAGATGCTTTAAAGCCATGCAGATAACAGCACACCTGTGACCACACATTCTGTATTAATGCTGAATTAAGATACATGGCAAGTGTAAATACATTAATGAGGAAAAAAAATTAACTTAAATGATTTTAGCAAATGGCTGCAATATAACAAAGAGTGAAAAATTTAAGGGGGTCTGAATACTTTCCGTACCCACTGTATATTTAAGCAAATGGTCATGGTGGAATAATCGTTAGTTATTAATATTAAAAAAATACTATTATTATATATTATTCCTTTTAATAAATTTGTAATAATAATCAATTTTTTAAAAACTCTAAAATATATTGAAAATGAGGCAATTTGGTGGAGTAATTATTTTAAATAATTAATATGAATTAATAATTATTCTAATATGCTGATTAGGTACTCAAGAAACATTTATTATTATCATTGTTCAAAACAGTTGTGCTGTTTAATATTTTTGTGAAAACTGTATAGTGCTTTTTTGGGATTCTTTGATGAACAGAATGTTTAAAAGAACAGCAATTTTTTTTTTACACATTTATTGTATCCTTGTTCAATAAAAGTATTAATTTCTTACAAATAAAAAAAAAAATCTTATTGACCCAAAACTTTTGAATGGTAGTGTATATTAAGATAGTATTGATACATGGTATTATTAATCATATCAATATGCTTATTAACTGAAAGAAAATGTATTGGAAATTGTAATAATGTTAATAAATTAATGCTATCTTAGATTATTAATATGAACACATTTACTGAACACTGATGTCTCATATATTGTTCTTGCTGGTGTTTTATCAAGCAACAAGCCATGTTGGGCATTATAGAGCTTTTTGCCAAGGTTAAGGGGGTTTTAGGTGCCCCGCTTCATCTCATGTGTCTAACTGCTTTAGTTTAGTTAAGGTCCAACACACAAACATAAACCAAAAGCACAGCTCACACAGCACAGCCATGAAAAGCTCACCAAAATGAGTGTGCAGAAAATTCCCTCATTAACAAGAGAGCAGAGTTAGTCATACGCATTATTTACTCAAACCTCACTTGCAGCCCACATATTAGTGTGTTTTCTGCCTGAGCAGTAAGAGGGAGGGAAGATATTACCGCACACACACAAACACACGCACCGAGCGCCGCAGTAACGGTTGAGTGAGTTGGACCAGGGCTGGGGGAAGAGGGTTGAGGCAAAGGAGAACAATGGGAAACACATTTTTTTGATATAGCTAAAGGCTCTAGCACTAATCCACACCTTTATCCATTCAAATTCTGTCCTCCCCCTTAACCCCTTCCTCCCTCTCCTTCTCTCTTTCCTCCTCTCTCTCTCCCTCTCTCTCTCTCTCTGTCCTTCCAGCCATCCCTCCCGCCTCGGGAGACGTATGGTGCCAGTGTCATTTTGATGCAAATGTAAAATGTGATGAATCTTTTCTTTTTTGTCCCAGAAAGACAGAAAGAAAAGACGGCGCTTTGACTTTGGCTTCAGTGCGAGATTTGAGAATTTTTGAATTTCAACGTGTCTTCTTTGAAAGGAAGCGCTGAGTCAGCCTCAGGTTCACCCGACGACAGAGGGAATATCAAGCGAACAGACAGCATTCATCAGTGTATGGATATTTCAGAAATTGATATTTATTATGGATTAAGTAAAAGTTGACTTGATGAAAGCACGGAAGGAGGGTTGGAAAGCATTTAAAGGCAAGACTCCAAACACACATACTGGCCCCACTGTTTGAATGCAATAGAAGACATTAAGCTGGTTTCCCAGGCAAAGATTAAGCCTAGTTCTGGATAAAATAGCACAGGCAATAGAGATTCTCTATTCAACATCCTTTTCAGTCTGGGGCTAGGCAAACTCTGTGTGTGGGAACTAATCCGTGGTGTCTGATAGCGTAGACTACAAACACATTTAGCCAACTTTACATTGCCAGTACATTGTTATATGAAATAATCATATAATATTTCAAGAAACTGTCATTCGACCTCTATAATGAGATATGAGAGGTCCAGCATATCTAACATGTTCGCTAATAGCTGCAAGACTCATTCGCTCTTTATTATAATACACAGCTCATGTTAATCTATTTGTTTACAGCTTGAGAAGTGAGCTGCATAAAGTAATTTTAAAAAAAACAGCTACACTAACATTTTAATGTTTTTCAAAGAAGTCTCCAATATTTTGAAATATTACTACAATTTAATTTTTTAAAAATTATATATATATATTTTTTTTTTGTTTTGTTTTGTTTTTTTTTTGCATATATTCTAAAATGTATATTTTTCCTGTGATGGCAAAGCTGAATTTCTTAGTATTATCAATGTTGAAAACAGTTGTGCTGCTCAATATTTTATATTATAGTAATATAATTTATTTTATATTTTATTTATAATATAGTTCTTTGATGAATAAAAGTTCAATAGAATAGAATTTATTTGAAACTGAATTTTTGTAACTTTATAAAGGTACTTACTGTCAATTTAATTTGTCCTGAATAAATAAAAATATAAATTTTGACCCAAAACCTTTGAATGGTACCGCACTTCTCAATGTTTCAAATGTAATATATACAGCATGAGTATATGGAAGTAATAGAAACCACACAAAAAAGTATAGTTGTACTACATGGTAACTATATACTGCATGTACCATGGTATTACAATTGTTCTTACGTTACATGCAAAGTACATTAGTACTTTGTACTTTGGTACTTTTTTGCTAGTGATGTTAACACAAAAGGCTTCTTCACTTTTCTTTACAATAAGCAGAACTCACCTGCCCAGTATCTTGCTGACGCAGCCGTGGCTGACCCGGAGCTGGCGGGAGATGTCACACGGACGTACGCCCTGATGGGCCAACTCTACTATCCTCTGCCTCACCACGTCAGGCAAGGGCCGCCCGTTTACAAACACCCCACCCAGCTGATTCACCCCTCCATGCCCTGCAGACACAAACAGTAATAAAAGGGAAACTGAGCAAATCATATCTTCCTTAAATACAGAAGCTGACATATGGTGGGCAAAAAGCGTTGCTGTCCCATCCTGGTGTGTGTGTGTGTGTGTGTGTGTGTACAGGTATATATGGTTTATGAGGGCACAAATGTGTATAATGACATGGGTACTACAACGTAAACATGGTTTATGAGGACACTTCCTGTGTCCCTGTAAAACAAAAGGCTTAAAAAAACATACAAAACAGTGTTTTATGACATTCAAAAGTTGCCAGCAGCTGTCTGTGAGGGGTAGGTTTAGGTGTAGGGTTGGTGTAGGGCAATAGAAAATACAGTTTGTACAGTATAAAAACCATTACGCCTATGGAGAGTCCCCGTAAACCACAAATACAAGTATGTGTGTGTGTGTGTGTGTGTGTGTGTGTGTGTCTTTGACCTGAAGGTTATGATTATGCAGTCTCTTCCTCTCCTCTTTATCATATCACCCCTGGTGGTCACCTAGAGAACTGCACATGACCTCCTCACCCAAGTTAGTATTTCTGTCTGTCTGTCAATTTGTGTCTATCTGTCTGTAATTGTTGTTGTGTGTCTTTTTTGCACAGTGGGTGGTGGGATGGACCTCCCTGGTGGGCTTAGACTTTTGGATACCAATTTTCTTTCATTCTTGTACTGTATATATTCATTAGAATTCAGTATTTTATCATAATTTCAGTGCAGAAGTCTACGTGGTAATCCAGTCAATCTGTCATATTAACATACTGATTGCTTCAGAAGGGGAACACACAAACACACATTTACACACACACAAAAGAACTGGGGGGTGTCTGTTAATCCAAGCTACAGGGTAATGGATCTTAAATACATCCGAGAAGGCAATATTAAACAGACCTAACTGGCCTTGTGTGCCCATCACTAAATACATAAGTTCAGCCAACAGAAAATTAAAACCCAGCTACATGTCTTTTTCATTTTCTCAAGGCAATATGCAGAAAAAAAACAGCATTTCCATATTTAAAAAATCCTTTAGTGAGAGATTTGACCTGTTAGATTTCTTTTAACGCATTTTGTTTTCTGTTTCATTTGACCTCCTTTTCTTTTTCCTTTCTATTAATGTTTTAGTTTCCTTTTTTCTTTTCTTTTCTCCTTATGTGTCTTTCAGTTACAGTTTATTATTTGAATACCCTTGAGCAAAGTGATGAAGTCATGGAGTCAACTAGCTAAATTGATTTTTAAAGATGTACATTTAAAATTAGGTGTGCAAACATATTCCTCATTTGTAAGTCGCTTTGGATAAAAGCATCTGCTAAATTAATAATTATTTGTAAAATAAAGACAGTTTTGCTTAATCTCCTGTTTAAATTAAAACGTAGGCTACTATATACCCACACTACAAAAGAAACAGTGAAATACAACAAACTGAGTTGAAACTTAAAATGTTTCTTCCTCAGGAAGGGCTTATTTAAGTTCTAAAAAAAATGCATCGCTTAGAATTACTTTTTAGATCAATTTATCTTGAATTTCAAAATCTTTGTCAACTGCAGCTATAAGCACTGGTTTACAGTAATAGTTAGCCTATGTACAAAGCATGCATACAATTAATTGATACATAGAGCAAGTTTGTGTTTGAGTGTGAATGAGAGCATGTATGAGTGTGTAATTGTGTTTGTTTGAATATAAGTGCATGTCATAGAGAGAAAAGGCTGCAGTAGGGATTAAACGAAACAAGCTATTCAGATGTGATCTGACCAAGACTTTTTCCCGTTTCTTCTGCAAATACGGCTGGCTTATAAATCGAAGTGTTCCTAGAGCTTTGATTGATTTCGAGGCAGGTTCCGTTTAGAAATAGCAAGAGCGGCTGAAAGACATTCATGCTCCCCCATCCAGAAAATAAACCCGATTAGAGACGCTGCTCCATTACGATCCGCTATCGGCCGCTCCGATTAAACCGCTCCAAACAGAGCGAACCAAACGCCAGCAAAGCGACGTGACATCAGCGTGCTTTAACAAACAGACTCACGAAAAAAAAAAAGAAACAAGTAAGGGACTACCTTCATTCATGCAGGGTAAATTCAACGTTTTCGGAAAAGAATGCAGCGTTTGAAAATAAAATCACAGATAGTTACATTTTAAAAATGAAAAGATTTTGTTTTATCTTGTATTGAAAAAAAGTTCAACCATAATATTAAAGTAATAAATAAGAAGTAGCCTACCATTGAATAAAAGCGTTTAGGTTTGCTGGATTAAAAAAAAAAAACGTTTTAAAGAGAGGGTTTTGTTGTAGGCTTTGTAAATCATATTATTTGTGACAGATTCATTATTGTTTTGCCATATATCTTATACAAGTTGATCACGTAGCCTATCATAGCCTATTAGTAATTAATGCCTCATTGATAATATCTGGTTGGTTATTTATTTATTTATTTATTTATAAGACATTTAGTCTAATCTACGTAGCATGTAACCAATTATTTATTTATTTTTTAAATACTGATGGTTTTTAACACACTGAAAAAAAAATTTCCTTCATCCCATTAAAAAAATATATTTTTTAATTTTATTTTTTTTAATGGATGAATGAAGCATTTTTTCAGTGCAGGCGACAACAAACAACAAAGCAGGGAAACTCAGAGCACAGAAACAGAACAATGACACTTTTCAGAAATTTCAGCAAAATCTTTTTTTTTTCTTAGCATAAACTTCAAAGCTCTACTCCTAAGTAAGACTGAATTATTATTATTATTTTAAGTTATTGACAATAAATAGGTTTGCATCTTACATTTAGCCTAAATAAGATCAGATGAAACAATGTTTGAAATCACTCGAAAACTTCATATTAATCTACATTCGTCGTTTATGTCAATTTAGCATAAAACTGTAACAAATTTAGACGGCCGGTTAACCGGTGGCCTAATAACAACTGTAACATCTAATGTACTGCATTAGAGGGAGTGTTAAATATAGGCCCTATAGTAACTTAGGCTACATTGTAGTTCACACTTTTTATGATCACACCTTTTTAAAACCTGCAAAGTCTTATTAATATTCATGAGCAAGATAAGTATGAGTTTAAAACATCCTAAAGTCTTCTTCCTCTCTCTGTGTCTTTCCTAAAAGTCTCGCAGGTTCGTGTCACAGTCTGTTCTTAAGGCTTGCACGGTTTGACATTTTCGGTGTAATCGTTTTACCCCGCGGACTGTGTTGAGATATTGTGGCGGAGAGGAAACGTGATTCGTTCTAGCTTCTGAAATGTGTATACATCTAATCCACCGTTTCATTCACCGTGCCAATAGATGTCATTTCACATAGATGTGCGTGTGCGAGTGGGTGGGTGCGCGCATATTTGAGGTTTGCGGTGGCTTGGTGTATGAGGTTTTATTCATCGATGAGTAGAGAAAGGAAGAATGAGCGAGGGAGAGAGAGATCACAATTGTATTTTCAATGTGCATAGGCTAATATGTGATTGGCAGCTCTTGGTTTTGGTAACAAAGACATTGCGATTTTTAATTTTCAGACTATTTTTCTTACAAATTGAGGACATGTACACAGAATGTATTTTTTCATAAGTAGTTTATAAATATTTATAATAATTATGTAAAATATTTTTACATTTAATTCTAAAGTATGTCTTGCAAACTAAAAATGTCCATTAATGATTTAAAGTGTGTAAGCTGTTAACTTAGGCTACATTGTAGTTCACACTTTTTATGATCACACCTTTTTAAAACCTGCAAAGTCTTATTAATATTCATGAGCAAGATAAGTATGAGTTTAAAACATCCTAAAGTCTTCTTCCTCTCTCTGTGTCTTTCCTAAAAGTCTCGCAGGTTCGTGTCACAGTCTGTTCTTAAGGCTTGCACGGTTTGACATTTTCGGTGTAATCGTTTTACCCCGCGGACTGTGTTGAGATATTGTGGCGGAGAGGAAACGTGATTCGTTCTAGCTTCTGAAATGTGTATACATCTAATCCACCGTTTCATTCACCGTGCCAATAGATGTCATTTCACATAGATGTGCGTGTGCGAGTGGGTGGGTGCGCGCATATTTGAGGTTTGCGGTGGCTTGGTGTATGAGGTTTTATTCATCGATGAGTAGAGAAAGGAAGAATGAGCGAGGGAGAGAGAGATCACAATTGTATTTTCAATGTGCATAGGCTAATATGTGATTGGCAGCTCTTGGTTTTGGTAACAAAGACATTGCGATTTTTAATTTTCAGACTATTTTTCTTACAAATTGAGGACATGTACACAGAATGTATTTTTTCATAAGTAGTTTATAAATATTTATAATAATTATGTAAAATATTTTTACATTTAATTCTAAAGTATGTCTTGCAAACTAAAAATGTCCATTAATGATTTAAAGTGTGTAAGCTGTTGTTTGCGCGTCGGCGGCGACAAGAACAAGAAATAGGCTAAAGAGAGGGAAAGAGAAAAGGGGCCCTTAACGGTGGTATCTTGGGGGACCACCGGTGTTCGCCATGTCACGACTGAGTGACCACACATCTCTCCGCTACAGTGGGCAACTTCAGCTTTCGTTTTTAACCTCACAAGTGGCCTGTTTACAGCCACCCTCAAGCAAAGTATTTAAAGTTTACGGAGCCTGTTTGCCATATTCTCAGCTGCGGTTCAAGTTCAGTTTGTGTCCGCTGGCTACTGGCCTTGGCCGCGATCTCTTCCCCCCTCTCTTTCCCCCAGGGATTGTCAAACAGAAGGCAAAAGCTCTAACAAAGCAGCCCGGTTCTTAATCAAGAGAAAACTCCCAAAATAATTGGCCCAAACGGCAAAAACTTCACCGTTATTTAAGACACTGCTGCCTTTTTAAAGTTGACCAGCAATAGTGCACAAAGTGCTTTGCTTTCATTAGATTTAATCAGAGTGTATTTTAGTTATTCTATAATTCTGAAAGGAATATTAGAACAGGTGGGGAAAAAAGAATATTCTGAGAACTTTGATAGAAATCAAACATTTAACAGCAGTTAGTCTGAAGTGAAAGTCTACCGTGAACTTACTGTGCATGGCTGCGAACGGGTCGTGTTTGCAGTGGATTTCCATCGGTCAGTAGAACAGGCCTTCCCGTGAAAACCACCAAAAAGCTTATAATGTCCTTTTCTTGCTCTTTTAAAGGTTTGTGCGTATGTATATTCTGTCCGTTCTGCTCGGAAATGTTTCTCTTAAACAGTTTCAGCTGTGTGGAAGTCCACAGAAACTTTGGTTGGAAAATAAACAATTGAACCTGAAGACCCTAAGGCCTAAGGTCAAGAGTAGAAGAATATACGTAAATAGTTTTTGTGATTCTCGCGGGGTAAAGGAAAAGAGATCATTCATAAATAACAATTTATCTGATTCAACATTAATTAATCAACAAAAATGTAAATGGGCGGTCAGGGTACAGCCCTGCAGGGTCACACGACTGCTTCTGCGGCCCAACATCCAGAGTGAACCAACTCAGACATCAGTGGGGATTCATAAAAACTCAATTTCAAGAAAAGTCCTGGCGATATGTACACATTTTAATATTAGTCCGAACAGTCTTAAGCTTTCGATAAAAATGTAGAAGTCTCGTTTCCAAGCTCTAGCTTGACATCCTCGCTCCACTGACCGTGACCCGTGAACTGTGACTGAGGTTCGCACTGTCAGAGCGCGTCTCTAGCAGGGATCTGTAAAATCCTGGTGAGGTTTCTGACAAACCAAAACATTTACTTCATGTTCAACGTATCTTCACGTAAACGCGATTTCCTTGCATCTTGATCTTCTAATCGCCCAAAGCGCGCCCTCAGACTCTCTTTTTAAGAAAAAAAAAATGCAGATAACTCCGACAGTACAAAGATCCCCAAACAATAGACATACGACCGTGGACATATGAGATTAAAAAGTACATGGTATGAACCCCGAATCAAAATGTTTGCCAAAGTTAAATAGAAAATGAAAAATAGCCATTGCGCGAAGAATTTGAACTTGAAAAAAATGTCCAAGAAATGTCCTGAAGAAGAAAACAGGCTTTATCAAGTTTTGAACCACTACTCAGTACGTGCGTAAAAATCCTCGGAAAGTCTCAGATGGCTGATACGGTAGTGTAATTTGTCTGTCTCGTCGCATCGGATGTTCTTCCCGTGTGAGCGCTCCTGCGGCGAGAAGCAGTGCTCGAGCCTCCGTCCTTACCTCGCAAACACTGCACGAGCTCACGGCGCGTTTCAGAACCTGCTCTCGTGTGGACAGCGCCAAAGCTACAGCGCTCTGAATCTACTACCGAGCGCGAGCGCGACTGTCAATCAAGATCAGCCTACCTATCCGGGCTCTGCACCTCTGCAGTCACAATCGCCCTGAGTCGCGCTCAGATAAAGACGACACCGATTGGCTAACACTCAGCCAATATGAAAGTGACGTGCGGTCCCAATTGTGCACTGACAAATAGGAAGTCTTGAATCGAAGTTGGTTCAGTGGTGTCGCTGATCCCATGTCTCATTTCAATTAAGGAAGGGGAAAAAATTGAAATTGTCAAATATCCGTTTGCACTCTTTTCAGTCATCCAATTAATAAATAGTTAATAATTAGGTATTGCGTCAGAATGTTTTCAGTTATATGAATAAGCCAATATAATGCATTGAAAATCATTTAAAAATATTGCTTATGGCACTTGGCACGTTGCGGCATTTCACTGAGCTACATGTGCATATAAAACAAAAAATGCATATAAAATAAATGAACAGAGTTTCTCAAACAGTATTGTATTTGCAAATTATTAGAAATTATAAATATCGCACTTGCACGTGCAATTACGACTTCAAAACAATTTTTTGGTAAATTGTTTGGTAAATCTTAATTAACGAATTGAATGATTATGCATTCATTAAAGTTGCCCAGATGATTCGTTGTTATTTATACGCCTTCGAAAAAAGATTCTTCCTATCTACATTGTTTGACGGATACGAGCGCTGTTCCACGCAGACTTTTGCTCTATCTTCATGCTATATAAGTTTTGATTAGCCTTCTAACAGATTATTAAGCACTTGGTATTTAGTCATGTTTAGTTTAGTTGACTTGGTTACTGTGATGTGTTTTTTAAATCATGGTGATTATAATTGTTGTGGTGGCTAGCATGGTGATCAGTGTAATACCAAGAAATAACAAGCATTTTTAAAAACGTAATATTAGGGTTATCAACATTAATGTGGTCTTTAATTATTATTTTTTTTTACTTACCTAGGCAAGAACACACACACACACACACACACACACGCACACAAAACATACTTGAATTAAATTGATTGAATTACTGAATGAATTAACTTGAAGTATTTTATTTTTTTAACACATGTAGTTGGTTTTTCAATTATACGTTTATTAATTTATATCCTTATATACAGGCAACAAAAAACTTACATTGCTAAAACAAAACTTTTGTATCAAAACATAAAACGAAAAAAAAATGTTACATAATGTTTCTCAGTGCATTACATTATGCAGATATGTTTCTTTGCCTGGATACAATGCAAACCTTAACTCATTAACATTTTGGAGAAAGTTTTCGTGCATCTTCTGTTATCAGTCACAGTGTTATCCTACACTTAAAGAACAGAGACACAACTGCCCTAAATGCATTTGCCTGTGAGGTCAGAATAAGGTAACTTTTAAGTCGCTGGAATCATGTGGCTCATGCTCAAAATTCATGTGCTCAAACACATATTCGTCTTATTCTGTAAGGCTTGAAAAGATTCCCGCGCGGTGCGCCATGAGTGCCACGAGGGGGCGAACCTTTGGTCTCGTGTGAAGAAGCTGGATCACGTCAGCTTGCCACACACGCACACACACACACACACACACACACACATATACTTGCATTTGTGGTTTACAGTGACTCTCCATAGGCGTAATGGTTTTTATACTGTACAAACTGTATTTTCTATCGCCCTACACCAACCCTACACATAAACCTACCCCTTACAGGCAATTAACTACTGGCAATTTTTGAATTTCATAAAACACCGTTTTGTATGTTTTTTAAGCCTTTTGTTTTACGGGGACACAGGAAGTGTCCTCATAAACCATGTTTACATGGTAGTACCCGTGTCATTATACACATTTGTGTCCTCATAAACCATATTTACCCGTACACACACACACACACACACACACACACACACATTTATACGCATACACACACGCTCACTTATACACTTGTGAAATCACAGTATATAATGATAAACGTGTTGCAATATTAAAATATATAATAGCGCTATTTGCAGATATTTTGCAGCCTATTCCGTTTTAAATTTAATAATATGTTTAAATATGGGAATCATTAAGTTATTTTACTTACAATAACAATTAAGTTGAACACTTCCATGTTCTTTCGAAGGCCTAGGCTTTCAGTTGACATTTCTCAATCATTTATTTGTTAGTTGTGTTGTTTTGTTCCTTATGTTGAGAGACAAACGCGGACCACAGATTAACAATAATGGTTGTAAAACGTTAGACTGATTAAACGATTAAAATTGTTCGAGTAAATTATCTTAGCCTAATTATTTTAGTTTATATAGTCTGCCTCTTTTTCCCCAAAAAATACCATCTGTGGCTCAAGTGATACTCTCAATACTCAATACATATTCTGTCTTATTGGGAAAATTCTTGCTTGTGAGTTTACCCAAAATTCATTTTCTACATATATTTAGCAAATTAAATATTCAAACAAGTCAAACTAAAACAACTAACATCATGTATAAAATTGCTTTCTGGTTTGGATTTTTGAATAAAAGTTTATCATTCAAACCATTTGTTAAATCAACAACATAATCTATTAAAATATTTAACGCTTTGAATTAATTAATAAATGAAAGAAAATTTGAAAAAATTAATAAGGCAATAATGAGTCGGACTCAGATCACTTACGTAGGTAATCTTAAGAACATAAACATAATTAATAGTAAACAAAAATATAACATTTCTATAAAAGTGTTCAGAAGTCGGCACAAATCTGAATATTTATTAATAATAGGCTAATTGTAAATATTTCAAAGTATCAAAGTCAAAGCCAAGCATGGTTTCCAGTCCACTCCATGTTGGCCGTATATGCAATGAATCACGTCACTGACACAAACTCTCATATTGTATTCGTGAGAAGTGGAGATTGTGTTTTAGTTAAATCGAAAGTTAAATCAATTCTACAAATTGTGTGAAACACACAGAACCTCTAACCAAAGGACTACAAGACTATCAGATGTTTAAGCTTAGGCGTATTCCTTCAGTTATAGGCAGTGGCCTATCTATCAAATATGTATTTATGACACAGAAAGGCAAAACGGATAACAGTATGCCAATAAAAAAAATAAAAATAAAAAAAATCACCAGACAAATAAAAACACGAGAACCAAATATAGGCTACTAGAATGTCGCATAATAATATTATTTATAGTCTTCAAGGATAGCTGGGCGTATCGTTTTGAACCAGGTGAGATGAACCACCTTAACTAGTTTAAACTTGTCTAGGTCCCGCTTTAGTTGACAGAGCAATTTAAGAACGTCTCATTTTTCATTATGTTATGAAGAAAAGTAATGCATGTCCCCTTTATCTATAGATTTATACTAACACAATACAATTTCTAGATGACAACAATCAATTCTGACTACTGTGCGATTTGTGTATCTCACGTTTAGCAAAGTAACAAGCACCAACACCGACAGAATTTACGCATAAATCTTGATTGCACGCGCCATTTCATTGGGAGTTCTAAATGTGACGCGTGAACGACGAACGTTTATGACAACACAGAACTATTTGCTATTGAATCCATGGAATGAACGGTCATAATTCATGCTTTTGGATCCTGAATGAAAACATCTGCAGTATAGACACTCACACTCGGACTCAACCCTTTTCCATTGGAGCATACATCTTTCAACAACCTCATTGTGTGACAGGAAATGTAATTGGTTTCACGTATAGTTTTGTTTTGAAATTTCGTGTGACGGGTTTGAATTTTGATTATGTCCCTTTGGACTGTAATAGTCCCGGCAAATAGGCCTAAACCCAGCACACTTCAAGCTCAAAAGCACGTTGCTGTCAAAATCACAG